CATACATATCGTCCTTGTTGTCGTGGCTATGATATATTTCCTTGATTATTTCCCCCTTCTAGCGCCTGTGCCGACAACACCGAGTCCAGCTACTACAAGTGGGCAGACAAGTCGCATAACTACCGTCCTTTCCACAAGCTCGTCCTCTTCAAGCACTCCGGTGAAGACGTCGGAGTCTGCAGGAGACCAGATATCGTCGGACGACGGTAGGTGGTCATCAGCGATGCTTTTAGACTAAAACCAGGACCCCCAGAGTAAAACCAGCGCCCCTAGAGTAAGACTAGCACCCCTAGAGTAAAACCAGCGCCCCTAGAGTAAAACTAGCGCCCCTAGAGTAAAACCAGCATCCCCAGAGTAAAACCAGCATTCCTAGAGTAAAACTAGCGCCCCTAGAGTAAAACTAGCGCCCCTAGAGTAAAACTAGCGCCCCTAGAGTAAACCAGCGCCCCCAGAGTAAAACCAGCGCCCCTAGAGTAAAACTAGCACCCCTAGAGTAAAACCAGCGCCCCAGAGTAAAACCAGCGCCCCTAAAGTAAGACTAGCACCCCTAGAGTAAAACTAGCGCCACAGAGTAAAACTAGCGCCCCTAGAGTAAGACTAGCACCCCTAGAGTAAAACTAGCGCCACAGAGTAAAACTAGCGCCCCTAGAGTAAAACCAGCATCCCCAGAGTAAAACCAGCATTCCCAGAGTAAAACTAGTGCCCCTAGAGTAAAACTAGCGCCCCTAGAGTAAAACCAGCATCCCCAGAGTAAAACCAGCATTCCCAGAGTAAAACTAGCGCCCCAGAGTAAAAGTAGCGCCCCTAGAGTAAGACCAGCACCCCTAGAGTAAAACCAGCACCCCCAGAGTAAAACTAGCGCCCCTAGAGTAAGACTAGCACCCCTAGAGTAAAACTAGCGCCCTAGAGTAAAACTAGCGCCCCTAGAGTAAAACTAGCGCCCCTAGAGTAAGACTAGCACCCCTAGAGTAAAACTAGCGCCCCCTTTGTGTGGCAAAGAACTTGGAGTATTACGTACAGAGATTAATGTATCAATCTGTTCTCTCAGATGACGCTGGAAGCGACAGTGATTACTCTTATGACAGTGATTACTATTATGACTCGGAGCCAGAACCGCCAATTCCTACAACAGAGTCCAACAAAGCTGGTAAGTTGGTGATTTACTTCCACGGAAAACGTAGTCCTTCTTGTTCAGGCCTCTCTTTAAACACATTAGAGCCACATGTTTACTTGATGAAGAATGAAACAAAATGTGGAAAGGTAACATTTGGAAGGGAAATACATTATGTTTATCTTCACATAGTTATGGGTTCACCACACCACGAAGTGGTGGTGAACCCATATTGCTTTTTCTGATGTTTCTTCTCCTCCTTCTCCTTCTTCTCCTGCCATTTTTTAAATGGATTCAGCTTCTTCATTTTAGGGCCCGAGGTCCTGAAATTTGGTATGGAGGTACAGTGGGCAAATACCCCTAGGCGTTTTTTAAATTATTGTGATACAGGCTTTTAGAATGGTTTTATTTGAGTTTTTTGGCTGTGTTATAGCAAATGTATTACTGTGTTAGTGTGCCTTGTTTACCACGTTTGGGCATGAGTCATCACAATGGAATGCAGGGCATCAACCAATAGGCATGCAGCTTTCCTCTATTCTTCTTGCTGATTGGCTGTTGGGATTTAACTTGATTAACAGACTGCACAGAGCATTTCCACCTGCACAGAGCATTTCTTGCTGATTGGCTGTTGGGATTTAACTTGATTAACACCTGCACAGAGCATTTCCATACTGACAGTATGTCTTTATTCAAGTGTTTTGGTAGGGATTTCAAGCTTTCCTGCTCCAGCATTGGAATGCGGGGCATGGACGTTTTTTTATTTTGAAAATCAACAGTTTGCATTGTGCAATTAAAAATCCTAACCAATAAAGTAGGGAATAGCTATCCAACTGTTGTTTTAGTTGTATTTTACTTCATATTATAGTTATATCAATGTAAATCATTGTTTTCCCTTGTGTTTCTCATTCTTTCCCTGCCATGTCGTAAAATGTGGTGAACCCATCGCTGTATTTGCTCCAAAGCAAATATTGGCCTTTCTAGTTAATAGTTAAGCTTAACAAACTACTGCGCTGTCTAATTTTTACTTAAATACATTCATATCATGGTGACCAGCTCCTCTAACTCTACCCTGCCGCTTGCTACATAATGTAATGGAGCACAACAGGGTACCTGCTACAGTACCAGTTACCATAGTAACAGCTGCCTGGTCCAAGTCATGTATCCCTTGTTTTTTTAGTAGAAGAAGTAGAAATGGACTAACAACGATAAACATAATAACATCCCTTCCGCTTCTTTTTGTGTACAGCAACAACGGCAACAAGCAGCAAATCACCGGATGACGTCAGGCGAACGTCATCATATCAGGTTTGCAGCTTTCAATAACATTTACTAGTAGTGCTCCATTTGAGATTTGTAGAAGATGAAGCAGCTCATATCAATAAATTTGCAGATTTTGGTAAATGATAAAAGTAATGAGATTTACAACATACTGCCATGGGTGTATGTAACACTGGATGCGTTTAGGTGACTCAAAGAGGATGCAAATGCACCGATCTCAAACTCCGTTTAGTTGGTTTAAAATGGTTTTATTGTACAAACAGTACCCGTGCAGTCGCAGCCTTGCAAGC